TTATTGAATATTTATTGTTAGGCATATGGCCTATTAGTCTGTTTTGCATTTATGCAATATACTGAAGCCAAACCTAAGAAAATAGATCAGAATATTCCACTGCATTCCTGGACACGCAATTTGCGTAGTTGTAATTCATAGGCGGGGATTATGCTAATTGTGAATGAGCGTGCAGAGCGCCCTATTTGCGACTTATTGGAATTCATTAACATACACATGTTTAACTATCAAATCTGATGTGTACGAAGTGTTTGTGAATCTGGAGGGGAGTTTTTGGGAAGGTCCGTTTTACGCGCAAATTACTTCGAATTTACTCCTATATTTACGAATGTTTCATGAATGAGGCCCAATGTGTGTATTAGGCCTATTTAATTACTAAATGAAGTATTTGAAGTCTGTGCATTTCACTTCGCAAGATACATTTTGTGTAGTGAATTTATCAAACACACCATCCAATGGAGTATACTCCAATAGAGTATACAATAGAGTAATGAGAATTAAATATTAGAAAATAGTAAATATGTTGCGTATGTGTATGATAACGTAGCCCATATTCGTGGAAACAGCAGTGAAAATGTGTTTTATATGATAATAATAATAATAAAAAAAAAGAAACAATACATTGGGGGGGTTGAGCACCCACCGGCAGAAACATAAATCAGAGATTTTCAGAGATTTAGTGCCTTTTATCTTCAGTTGATTTCATCTGTGGCTGCAGTCAGTTGCTCAGAAAAGTGGCTCAGAAAAGGCCTATGGTCACAGTTGTTGAGATTCGTGCACTGATTTTTAATGTCTCTCTTTGTGTTTAAATGAAATAGTAGTTCAAAATGTTTGTTTCTTATCATGCTTTTAAAATCCTTCATATATGGTCATGAAACTGCTGGATCCTATACTGTATAATCATAGAGCGTGTGTATTAGGCCTATTTAGGTGGGTGGGGGTTGAGCACCCACCGGCAGAAACATAAATCGGCGTCTATGTTTACATTTATTTCAGTTAATATTTATTTCAAGTAACATTGTACGTTTTTCTTTCTTTTTTTAGTTTCTGACTTATTTAACTATAATAACTGATTTAAAATTACAATATCAGGGAAGAGTGCCATTGTCTTATAAATGTCCCATTATAAAACGGGCAGGTATGAAACTAATTTGATATTAACATAGCAACTGTGTGCAGTGTAAGTGTATATTGAAGTGAATCTGATCTTTGGATGAGAATCAGAACAGGGCAAATCACACATACAGAAGAAATGCTCAAGTTCTTCGGGTTCCTTAAAAACCACCAATTATGAAACATTAAGAGATTTGAGCATTAAGCGTTCTTTGTTTTAAATTCTAATGAAGCAACATGTGTTGAGTTCTGAATGTCTGACTGATCGAGATTTTGAGATAGGATGAGCTTACCTGTATGAGGCTGGCTGCTGGGTTTCTCCTCTTTTCAAAGTGCTTCTGTCTGTGCTGCTCTTGGACCTTCAGAGCAAAGCCAGAGCCAAGAATACCCTACACCCACAGAAAAGAACACAAACGCACCCTATTACTAAGGTTGAATCTGCTGATTTGGACTAACGCCTGTTTCACACATACTCCGTTTGCAGTGCGTATGCGGTCCATGTGCGTTACGTATGCGGTGCAGAAGCAGCACGGACTCATTGTGCTTTCACACAGGACGCGTTTGCAGTCCACTCCTGATCCGTGGCTGTTTACCACAAACCCAACATTTATCTATTATTTTGATTTCAAATCCATTGTTAGCCTATACTGAAAGTGATTTTCATTATTGTGATCCTCTTTTATCACAGTACAGTTACACAATCTTTCATAGACATAGTCACATTTAAACTCAATTAATATAAACAACGTATTAAAGGCATTTGGCTTCTAGATTTGTATATTAATTTGCTCAAGCAAGTGGAAACACATTTAAACATAGCATATAGCCTACTTTTCTTGTGTTAGGCTATCACAAATATTTTAAATTAAAACTTACCACTGACAGAAACAGTTGGCTCTCTTACATTTAAATCTCTATTACAAACAGTCCCGTGGGTCTTAAAGAACTTTGTTTTTCTACCTCCACAAGACACAAGTGCATATGTTGCCTTGTTTATCTAAAAGTACACTTTTCTGTTTTAAACCTAGCCAAAAAGCCTGTGAAACACAGTAGACTTTAATTATATCTATTTATTGTGAAATTACTACATCTCTGTGTCAATCCATGTTCATTTTTACCGCGAACAAAGCGTTGTTACTTTAACTCAGCGAGTGCAGCACAGCAAAAATAGACTCGGTGCGGAAACGATCTCTGCACTGCTGCAGACGCACCGCTCCTGGAACACACTGCCGGACCGCAACCGTGCAGTGTGAACGCTCTGATCCGTTAACATGGGTGTGGAAAAAAATACAAACCGCAAACGCACTGCAGACGGAGTATGTGTGAAACAGGCGTAAGTGAGACTGAGTGTGCAGGACACATTTGTGAGCAGAGAGTCAAAGAACACTTGACGAGAATGAGTCAGACAGGCCGCTGAGGGGCTTTACAGCAACACATACTGTGCGTTCTCAAACACATCACAAAAATCATCACAGTACAAACACTCTACCTGAGCTAACAAAAATGGTTTTAGTGATTTCAAGTTTCATCCTAAAAGACCACAAATCCCCCATCTCTCGTAAGTGAGATCACTTAAGAAGTCAGGATAAGAAGGCATAGCCTAATGCTTAAACTTATATCTCATTTGTACATCTGTCGTCATGTACTCACACTGAAGTTGTTCCAAAACTGTACATATTCTTTCCCTGCTGAACACAAAAGAAGATATTTTGAGGAACTTTGGTAACCAAACAGCTGCTGGTCCCCATTGACTTCCATGGTATCTTATTTCCATACTATGAAAATTGTGATAATCTTTTTTCCCTACTGTGTCATATATGCAAGTGATGTGAAACGGCTTGTTGAATGTGAATTGTAGGGTGGGACTTGATTTTTACGAAGAATTGTACAATGACTTTATGGTGACTGCAAATTTCTGCACACATATGACGTCAGAAGAATTGGAATTTAGTGCACGAGTCATGATTACTTCAATGATGTTTTTATGGAGTTTTATATGGAAGAAAAAAGAATTCTTCAAAAAAGAAAGCAATAATCATCATGTTTGGGACAACATGAGGTTGAGTAAATGCAGACAGAATTTCCATTTTTGAGTATACTATAGCTTTAACTTCTATTTTTTTTATAAATCCATTGTTATGTAAAACAATATTTACCCCAATCTATTCTAATGTCAGAATGTGAGTCATGCAGTACATATCAGGTTGGAGCTACTCACAGCAGGCAAAGCGAAGAACGAGATGCCCAGCAAAGCAAACCCTGCAGACAGAAGCCGCCCGGTCCAGGTCTGTGGAGTCTTATCGCCGTATCCAATGGTGGTGAGCGTGATCTGAAGAAAGATGTGAGAATATGAAGGGTCAACCTTTTTTATATGTTTAAAAGACTAGGGTCATATTGCTAAAGACTTCCCACAGACAGACAGCATTGAATTATGTGTCTGGTTACAGGCCCGCAGTGTGCTTTAACACTCCACATATCACCTACACTCATGTATGGAGGAGGAATAGTAACCTCTCCACACTCTGACTGCATCTACATGATGGCCAAACATATATCGAATTCTGGCCAGGGCGCATTGGAAAGTCAAAGGCATCCAAACATGCAGTCAATTCTGTCCATTTATGCCATGTTAAACACCCATAAACACCAATCTGCATTCTAAAGTTATGGCCACACAAATGCACGGTATTAGATCCATCTTTCAGCAAGAGAAATACTTTGGTGGCTCATCAAAAAAAAAGGATCAGTCTAACATCTCGCACTCCTTTCCACACTCATAAGTGAGTGCTTTGGATTCTTGCAGGCAGGGGATACTTAATTGTTTTCTTTTTCTTTTTTTTCTTCTTTATTTTCTATAAAACTGTGCTGGAACACTGTTTATTGTAAAAAGTGCTTTGCAGATAAACTTTTGAATTACAATATTAATAAAATGTTTTAGAATATAAAAATGTTCTGCTTTTTTTCTGGTTTTAAAGAGGTTGTCAGGCTGGAAATCAGCTGGATAGGAGGAAAACCGGAGGGGCCAGACTAACCAGACTAAACTAGCAAAGACCAACAAGCTGGTTTAAGCTGTTTTTTCAGTTTTATCAGGGATGTCAGGAAAATGTAACCGCTTAAGCCTGAAAGGAGATAGAAATAAGTAACTCTGCTATTATATTGACCACAATGATTCATTGCGGGGACCCCTAATCTCTCCACTAAATGGTGGGTAACTGAGGACTGAGGAAGCGTGTGGTTTGGCCGCAGCCCGTGGATGAAGTTTCAGTCCAAGCGGTGCTGGAAAAAGAGGTTGATTGTGGGGTCACATGTCTGCCTCGACATGAAAACTCACACGCAATGTCATGACCGGAGCTCATTTACTCATTTTTGCTCTTAAATAGTATTCAATATACCTTGCTGTGAGCGTAGACAACAGATCCAAGCAGTTTCCAGGTACCGCCTCGCCTGTCCATACGCACCATGCGCAGGATCTGCAAGAAACGCAGGCTGCGAAGTGCAGACGTGGCAAAAATATTGCCCTGGCTACCAGCTGAAACCACTGCGATGGATGCAATGAGCACAATAATGTCTGAAACACAAACACAGGAGACAGGGAACATTTGTACATGTTTACACCAAGACAGCAATAGAAATACTTTGACTTATTAAAAATAATTATAGCAGTTGGTCAATTTAGGAGATGGAATCAGTGACTCATAGTCCTCTTTATCTCACAATATCATTATCACTTAACTTTGGCATCACTGAGCCAACTTCAACAAGGACTAAGACCACCCAGCCATTTCAAGAGCACCGGAGCCCATCTACCTATAAACTAAGCTTGCTGTTGTTCTCTAAGACATCAGGAACAGAGATTATTATTTTTTTAATTAGGCTGTTTCACTTGTCTGTTATGTCTTTCTCACTGAGGTCAGAGACAGAGAGAGGGGCCAAGAGAGAGCAGAGAAGCCACAGTCTTACAGAACAGCATATCTAATCCTTCGCTGCACACAGAAAAACCTCTCCAGCTCCCAGTGTGTCTTAACCAGGGATAATATTGTTCTTTACTCAAATCACCTTCGTCATATTTTCCTGCTGAATGTTACACTTGAGGTTTGAAATAAGAATGTTCTTGTGTCACACATGCTGAAGGTGGCCTCCTAAAAGTCTGTTATTTGAAATTCGAATCCCACAACCTTTGAAAGTTGCTACAAGGTGAAAATGGAACATTGAAGAACATGAGCAGATGGAAATGAGGGCAGCAGATTTGTGGTATTTGTGAACAAAAGCCATACTACAAGATGGAAAGCCAAAAATTGTAAGTTACCAGTAGAGAAACATTGAAAATCATGAAAGGCACAATTTTAGTTCTTTTTTTCTTTCCCCTTTCTTTAAAAGTTGCTTTGGAACAATGTGTGTTGTAAAAAAGCTATTTGTAAATAAACTAAATGAACTAATTAAATTACAATCTTAATAAAAAAAAAATGTATAACCAAACTTTCAGCTCAAGGTTTTAAATATTTTATAATTGGCTTTTATATATGACAGTACTGACATCTCCTTGTTTAAAGCTACAGATCTCAGATTGTGTCCAGTGTAAAACATTTTTATTTAGACCACAGTTAAAACATTTGGTCAGTAAGATATGTTAATATTGCTATTCATCAAGGATGCAATAAATTGCAGTAAAGTCATTTAGAATGTTACATAAATGTTATGTAATATATTTTAATGTTAATTATTAAAATTATTTTCTGAAGGACTGGAGTAATAACGCTGAAAATTCAGCTTTGCCATCACAGGACAACATTACATTTTTACATATATTAAAATACAAAAGATTGTAATTTGTAATAATATAGCACAATATTGTTTTTATTGATAAGAGCCTTCTTACAAAAACATTTTTTTAAATTCCCAAACTTTTGAAACAGTAGTGTAAACACATTGTTTTGGTGCACATGTATTCTTGTTTCACAAATCTTTACTTTATTTACTTGTTTATTTTATTTTTTAAATTTTTTATCTATTTCATTTAACAAGGTGAATTTACTGTAGGTAAATCAGGTTACTTTTGACAGCCCAAAAAAGTAGTTTTCCAGAATTTTTCTCAATTAATTAGTTGTTTAAACATTTTAAATCACTGAAATGGTTTAATAGTTGCTATGTTGCCATGCAAACGTGCTACATGAAGTCGAAGATAAATATATTTATATTAGATAACATGAAGATGGAATAATAGAGGATGTGGTCACATAAATGGTTGGCAAGTGTATGTACATAATATGCAAAGACCTTTTCACAATTTCTAATAGGACATGCCAAATAAATGTGTTGAGCAGGGAGGGGAAATTGTTTCCTTTTTCTCTCTGTTTCATAATTCAGAGTTAGTCTCAGCGCTGATGGAATGCTGATGGAACTCAGCCTCCTAATGAATGGAGATGAGGTTCAGTGCATGACACACAACACACTGATATATTCACACTGGAGCCTAAATTACCCTCATACAACACAACACCACATACACCACGTGTAATAAATATAAATAGCACTGGTTAGTTATTGCCTGTAATCCCTCATTGGTTAGTTATTGTCTGCTTTTCCTCATGAGGGATTTACAAGAGAACTCTCACATTCATTATGTATGTTTGAGTCAGTCATTGATTTGGGGCAGAGGTGCTATCATTAGCCCATTGAGCATCCATCAACATCCACACCAACACAGCAGATCCATCACCCTCTACAAACACACATATGGAGAGCACACTCAAAGAACACGTTTTTTATCCTACCGATGACACAGAATGGTTTTCTTGCAAAGCGCAGTCGTCCTTGCCATCCCCTGTAGCGACAGCAGCATCCAGCCGACCAGATGCGAATGATGTACTCCAGACCGAACACAACAATCATCACAAACTCCTGCAAAACAAAAATACACACAAACACCTTTCATGACATCAGGTGCACCACTTAATATATGGTAACTAATTAAAGCTATCTCGCAAAAAAAAAATGCTTATTGTTATTTTCTGTAAAGTTAGCATGAATACATATACATATGTATATACTGTAAATACTGTACACACACACATACCCTGATACACCACAGGAGGCCTAGCTACTGTAACATAATTAACCTGTCATCTAATCCATCATTGCCACATTCCTGGTGTCTGCTAACTGCAGTGTTAGATAAACCCCAGGTGAGTTCATAGAGGGTTTCACCGGATTAGGGTTTAATCTGTCTGCATGCATAGTAGGGCTGTCAAAAAAAAAATGTGAATTTCGAATATTCGTCGAATTTTAAATAAAAATCACATTTTTAGGTGTGCATCAGGCAGCCTTATCAGTGGCGCACGAGATGCGATGACGATGTAGGTGTCGTTGCATTATAATGTTTTTGTTAGCTTATCCAGTTGAAGCCACTAGATGCGGCGCTGCTGCGTTGTTCATTAAAAATATTGCGGAAAAAGAGAACATCAACGCGGAGATCTTGTTTATATCAAAACTGAAACAAAGCATCAAAACATCAAAGCCGTTCACACAGAACACATATTTTGTGCATGTTCTAGAGGGATATCTATCACCGTTGTACTCGCATCTCGCACAAGAGAGCCGCATGTTTAAAAGCCATGTAAAATTAATGCAAGTTTAACTTTGAAAAAAATATATATCGAGACTTTATGGCACGTTTTTTTCCCCATCCCACTGCATCTCATGTTTTTAAAGGGGTCCTATTATGCTTTTTCACTTTTTAAATTTTAGTCAGTGTGTAGTGTGTATGTTTGGGCATAAAAAAGATCTTCAAACTTACAAAAGTCCACTCCAAAGGGAAATATTTCGTTTTTAAAAAAATCCCTTTTCAAGAACTACAACGAACGGCTCGTTTGGACTACAGCGTTTGTTTTCTGGGTTTTGTGATATCACAAAGCGGTCCATTAGAATATCATAAAACTAATTCCCGCCTACGGAAATTCGAATGGTAGGGGGTTGGGGGGTGGTGGAGGGGTGAGGTCGTGGTTAGAACGCTTGGTTGAGTGCATGATCAGACAAGACGACGACGAAGAAGTGCTGCTGTAGCATCAAGTTTTCGCAAGTTATTACACATGCACCTGAATAATTATGTATGTAAATATGTATGTTACAATTATGAAAACGTTTTTATAATAAATTGCTGACAGTACAATACTGGACAATGATGTAATCTGCAGAATTTACACTTCAATTATGAGACTACAGTGTTTCCCATACATTGAGTGCGGGTGTTTTTATATCACCGTATTTCTGAAGGAAACCGACTGTCTTCAGAAATTTGGATGTAATTTTCATTTAATCTTGCATGTAATGTCTGATAAAGCAGTGTTTTTTTGAGCGTGAGCGCTGCTTTGTGTACAGCTGTTACCGGGGAAACCTTGACCGCTACCACTCCAACAGCGCCTCCTGCTGGCAGAGAATGAGTTTGCATATATATATGCCGCCCGGGAAACACTGGATTATGGTATAAATAAATTCAACTGTATAACAGTTTCACTGCAATTCATGTTATAATGTTAGAATTAAATAACAATAAAAAATAATACATATGCACTTATCTGTACATAGTAAATGCAGTTATTTTTAAGCGGTTGTTGACATCCTATCTAAAACTGATGATTTAGCCAAAAAAAAAAACAATAACGTTACCACCCTAATATGTCTTGCAATATCCGTGCGTGCAAGGTTCTACGCGATCCTCTTGTTCAATATTCTCTGGGTCTCAATCCGGCTCAAATTGATATGGCAATATTGACGCCATCCTTAACTATCTAGTACACCCCCAAAACAAATTCAAGACATTGTAAAAGAGCATAATAGGACCCCTTTAAATTAAAAATGTACTCTGTGTGATTGGCTTTGCGCCCTTTGTATTAAACTCTGCATACATACATGATGCTGTTTTGTTTATAGTTGTTTAAGCAACTTAATTAATTATAATTGGTTTATAAACATTATTTAAAAAAAAGCAAGTAAGCGAGTCAGTCGACAAACAAATAAATACATAAATAAATAAATGTTCAAAGATTTATTTGGACATGTTCCTTAAAATGCTGGAAATAATCTGAAATTAAACAAATACAAATTAAATTAAATTAAAATTAAATAAACAAAAATAAGCTTTGAAGAAGTCTGGCTTTAATATTTCCTGGTTTTTAAATGCTTTCATAAATAAACCTAATCTAATAAATAAATCTAATGGGTTGATAAATATTAACCTCAAAGATTTATACTATATTTAGTAATGTTTCTTTAATATATACTCTTTAATATTTATGTAAATTTGAATAATACTCTATTTATTCATATTTACATTTCTATTCATATTTACATTTCTGTTTCTTCATTTATATTTGAATTTCTTATTCTATATTTCTCTATATAAAATCTTGAATTTAGTTTTAGGGTAAGTGGCTTATAGGTTTTGTTTTTTAATTCATTATATAGAAAGAGAAAATCAAATCAAATTTGTGTTAGGAAAATTCTCTGATGGAATTCAATGTAAAATTGTTGCTGTTTTATAAACTAATGGCAGTTAATTTGTTGATAATGATGTTGATAATATTTGTCTGAATATCAAGTCCTCTTTGCAGCTGTTAATGGACTAATCAACCTTTTCCCAGGTTATATTTCATGTTTGCCCCATCTCTGAGGGGTAAGAGGCCTGGGATAGGCTTTTAAACTGTCCTGTCCTGATCCACTGTGACAGCTGAGCTGGGCTTCCCACGGCTTGACACAACACTGTTTGCTTATCCTGAGCACTATCTGATACTGGAGGCAGTGCAGGTCCTGCTTTCCCACCAGTGGGGTAGACGCCATCCTCTCCTGCTTTCAGGTCAGCTCAGAGTCTCTGAACGTCTCTCAATACAGCCTCTTTAACTGAAACAGGAACACCTTGGCCCGCTCCACTAAGCGTCCGGTGGGACTGAGGTGCTCAATCACTAAAAGAACCATGCTGCTTTCTGCTGTCACTTGAGAGGATCCCATCAGTCAGTAAAACATCTCAGTGAAAGGATGAAACCAGCCCAGCATAATACAACATGTATCAAATGGCCTAATCCAAGTGATCGTCTTTTAACATTTTTGAAGGGATCTTTGAACACCAGACCAGAGAGAAACACTGAGACCTTGTTTTGAGACAAAGTCAAAAACAAATCAAAATTTATCTTCACTGACCCTACAACCCTGGTCTTAAGACCCGCAAGAATGACAACTATAACAATAACTTTCCAACACTATTATTCCTCTGTGCTGTTATCGTTATATTTGTAGTGTGGACTTCCCTACAACAGTTCAAATGTTTGGGGTTGGTAAGATATTTTTACATTTTTTAAATAAAAATACAGTTAAAAAAGTAACAATGAATATAATTTTACATCTTACTACAATTTAAAACAACTGTTTTCTATTTTAATATTTTTTACAAATTAAATTTATTCCTGCGAAAGCAAATCTGAATTTTCAGCATCGTTACTCCAGTCTTTAGTGTCACATGATCCTTCAGAAATCAGTCTAATATGCTGATTAGCTCAAGAAACATTTTTTATTATTATCAATGCTGCTTAATATTTTTTTATGGAAACCATGATATTTTTCAAGATTCTTTGATAAATAGAAAGTTCAAAAGTACAGCATTTATTTGAAATAAAAATCTATTATAACAATGTAAAAGTCTTTACTGTCATTTTCAATCAATTTATTGCATCGTCACTCAATAAAAGTATTAATTTCTTAAAAAAAAACATTTGTCTTGAAATAACCCTAAACTTTGAACAGTAGCGATGCTGACATCACTTAGGCCATGTACGAGAATCTTAACCAATAGCCAAGTGATTTAGAAACCGTTTAAGCAAACTTTCCCCATACAATAAATTCAAGTTCCATTTATTACTACATTTTACCCTGAAATTCATCATTACAGAAGTAAAATGGAGTTGTACAAAGCAATTCATATTGACTCGAAGTGTTTCAGGTGGGTATTTTGTTTCTACATTCAGTACGTTTGTGTGTCTCACCAGTATAAGGAGACAGTGATTTGAGAGGTCCATATGAGCAGGGATGGTGGAGAACACAGAGAGAACCAGACAGCCAAACACCAAAGTGAACCTGCCAGGGAACAAAAAAGGAAAAACATTAGTCATACAGCTGAAGTAACTGTATCCTGTTCTGTGTGACTTCACCTGAGCAACTGCGAAATGAAACTGAAGGTTTCTTTGTTCTGATGTGAAAGCACCTTAACAAATCTCAGGATGGACCCTGTGAAAGAACACCGACTGAATCTGAGAGCATTCAGAGAGGCATTAGATCGCAATTGAATCCGGTGGTGCTTTTCTACAGCTCTTTTAGCAACTGACCAGTAAACATAACAGCTTTTGAAGTACCTGAATGACACACCCACACAAAGAACTTCCCTAACAAATCATCACTTTCAGCATCGTTAAAGCTGCAGAGTTTCACTAATGATGGATGTGTGTGCAACTGCACACACCACACACCCTCTGGCTTCTCTGCTATTGTCTGAGAGCTATTTACATGAACATACAGTACATGCTTTCTCCTGCTGTCCCTTTGGTGCAGTATGCTGTATCTGTCCCGTTGTCTCTCTCTCTTTTGCTCTCACCCTGTCTAAGCAGGCCATTGAGAACATTGGCCTGAGGTGGAGAACAGAGATGGACTCGTTCATTTTCAGAAGCAGATGCAGCTGTGCGAGATGTGCAGCCATATGCTGTCTGAGTGAACTAGCAGACATCACTGTGTCTTCCAGCAACTGCTGTCCTTATGTTTCCTGTAAATACATTGTGTCTGGGAGCCTGTTTTTTACATCCAGCATGGTCTTCTGTATTTTACCTTTAGCCTCCACCTCCCTCTTAATTGAAAGGAACCATATTCTGTAATTTTGTATATTATTATTATTATTTCTTTCCTATCTCAGATTCACTTATAATTGGTTTCCTGCACCATAATTGTTCACATGACCATTTCCGACCCTCTCACTCTGACCCTTAGGCCCGTTTTGCCAGTGAAAGCAGCTTTTTGCAGCACATATACATATGTAACCATATTAACACTTAATTCTTACTTTGAGCATATAGTGATGCTGCACAGCTAATAGTAGGTTCAAGTAGGTTTAAACACAGATCCTTTTGCTCTCTATAGTCTTTCGAAAACTAAATAGTCTTTTGAAAACAGCATTTTATATGAAACAACAAAGAATACTGGAGCCAACTACTTTTGGGGGTTGATGCAACGTAAATGCACTAGCCAGCACAACACATATAACAGCACTTTCTATTCAGTAAATCTGACTAAATGATTTGAACAGTTCATATGCTACAGTGGAAATGAGTTCCATTCCATGTCGATTTTTGAATCTTAAATTTATGTAAATTAGATTTGAAATGGGCATTTGCGACATCTATATGCACACTACCATTCAAACTTTTGAGGCAAATATATATACATCAAAGGTGAAAGTAAAGACTTTAACATGAAATCGATAAAGGTTCCACAAAAACACAACTGTTATCAACATTGTTGAGCGTTGATAATAAGAAATGTTTTTTGAGCAGCAAATCATATTCGAATCAATTCTGAAGGATCATGAAACACTGAAGACTGAAGTAATGACTGCTGAAAATTCAGCTTTGCTATAACAGGCATACATTGCATTTTAAAATATATTATAATTAGTGCTGTCAAAATTAGCGCGTTAACGCAGGCGATTGATTTTTTCAGTTTAACGCGTTAAAATTATTTAACGCCGTTAACGCAGGGGCGGAGCCTAGAGTTGGCCACCCCACTCATAACTGCTACTTATGTCTCTTTTTTCTTGTCAAGAAGTGCATTTATTCAGTCGCAGAACGTCTTTACGACCACATCAAACAGTGGATGTTTCAGACGCGCACTCCAGCTTCACTTCAGCGCCAGGCTTGATTCAAACGAGCGCGGAAATGGTACTGGGCTCGCAGCGCATGCTCTTCAATTGCACGCACAAAGGCGCCGGTGCATGCTGCAGCCTGTATCATTTCATATCAACACACAAAATAAACTATGTGCATGCGATGTCGTGGTCAGTTAAGTCATTAAGTTACCAAAAAGGCGATTAAAGCTGCCTTAAAACTGTGCATGCATGTAATATATGAGTCACATTTAGGACCATGTCTCTGAAATGGTTTTCCAAACTGTCCTGGAGCATCCCAGCACGTTCTTCCTCATCTAACACACCCGATTCAAGTCGTCAGTTCATTAGTAGAGACTTTAAGACCCGAAGTGGGCCAGAAAAGGTAAATAGATTTGAGAGAAAATACGATACATGTCAGATCCGCGTCATGTTCAGCAGCGGCACCAGCTCTTAAAGAAATAGCAGCCAAACATCTAATAACCAGCTGTTGTGATGTCTGTCAATCAGAAAAAAAAGAGGAAATCAATCACTTTTATAGCTTTAAGGATTCATCTGTATTTAGTTTAGAATGTAGTGTTTGATAACTCTTTATTCAATTTCTTTATATGCACAGGTAGCTAAATATGACATTTTTTATAATGGTTTTATGTGAAGATTGTTTTAAGTTCACTTAAATTAGAAGTTATTTTTAAATAACTTCTAATAAATTTTAAAATGAATAGCTCTTAATTATACTGTAAGGTTGAATGGCTATAGTCAATGGTTAAATATTAGGGGGAATTTTTTTTATAGCGAAATCAGTATTAATTGGTATCAGTGACACTGGCCTTCAGTCATAAAAAAGATAGCATTAAACAAATATTAAAAATATACTGTCTTTATGTTGTTTGTACATTAATTTGAAGGTTGAATGTGAAATTATTGCAATAGAAAAGTATATTTAAAAACTTTAATGTTAGGTAGGATTAATCGCGATTAATTTCATTTAAAAAAGTGCGATTAATTCGTTATTTTTTGTAATCGATTGACAGCACTAATTATAATAGAAAATGTATTATTTTAAATGATATCAAACTGTAATAATATTTCACAATATTACTGTATTAACTGTATTTTTGATCGAATAAATTTAGCCTTGGTAAGCATTAGAGACTTCTTTCAAAAACATTAAACAAAAAATACAGTACCTACATTTTTGAAGGGCATTGGAGTTTTAAATTTTATTTTAATTTAAATGTATGTAAATTAGATTTGATAGCTCAGTTATGACTGGCAATCCTCTGTTTAACACAGCGTAGTTTATACTATTGTTTATCAGTTTCTGAATACAATAATTGAAATGATTCCTGAATGACCAATCTAGCTGTACACTTTCATTTCTAAAGAGCAAGGCTGATCTTGTTGTCCATGATACGTCCATTTTAATGGATGAAAAGACTCAAAAGTCTCTATATTTTCCTACATTTTTGAAAGATCATTCTATAATTATTAATGCAACAACACAACTGCTGAAAGGCCTAACTGAGCATCATACTTGACAGATGAAGTGTAAAGAGTTTGGGAGGTGTTTATTTACTAGTTGTGTATCTGTCTGTGATCAATAACAAACTAGTTGTGGCATTTGTATGTAAGTGTGTTAACAGCTGTTTTCACAGTCGTGCTGACAGCCCTCACCTGTTCCTCTGTCTTTCTTTCTCTTTTTGTCAGTGAGACACAGTCTGTCTGACCTACTGCTCACCCTTTTAACACATGCACACCCACACAAACCAGACTCTTTCAGTTAGTGTGAGGGCTTCTGTGAATCTCATAACACTCCATAGTATTACGATCCCCAAAGACTGGATTGTGACAGAGCTTATGAGTCATTGCAGGATATAGCACTTTCCATATCCTGGTGGTAATAGCAGACCACAACCATTATGCTCAAACTGGTGTCGTGCTATTCAACTAGAACATGTTTATTGCATTTAAACATGCATACGGACAAATGCACACACACACAATGTGCCTAAGAAAAGGGCTTCTGCTACAGTCATTACTGTAAACCAATAGACACACAAAACAGTAGCAGCGATTCAAAACACATTCTGAGACCAATAGTGAAAATGCATCTACTTTGCACTCCTTTTTAATGTAACATTTGTTTTAATGACTAATTATATTGTCAGCACAAATATTTGAGCAAAAAGTGAAAATGTACATGAATTTTATAATTATATTTAGTTTGACCCCTTTTGCTTAAATAACAGCAACACTCAAGTTGCATCACCTCCTCAACTTAGAAAAATCTGAGTGCATTGTGCTTCAATTGAACCAAGAAAATTTGCTTACATAAATAAAAATGTCAAAGCATTCAAGTATAAATTAAAGCAATCACAGACTTTTGCATTACACGTGCACCCAGACATATTTTTCAGAGCGATTTGAGAGATCTCTCACAGTCAGATGTGAGGGAAATGAAAATACTGGACCAGGAAGAAATTACTTTTTTTTAACAAACAGCTGCAGGTACCAGCACTCTGCTAAACGCTCGGGCCAGACAATGTGTCTTTTAGCATTCAGAGCCGTGTGGTCACAGCGCCAGGCTCCCACAGACCCAGACATCTGTGGTTTCGAAGCTCTGAACCCCAGGGCCTCTTTCCACCAACAAGACAAAACACAGCACCACCTAATTCAGAGGCCTGTGCGTGTAAATGTGCGAACGAGTGTCTGTATGCAAATGTCAGCTTGCAGTTTTGTCGTATTGCTGCTTTGCAATGCAACAGAGTGAGAAAAAGAGGGAGAGAAAGGTTACAGTAGCATATAGTGGGCTGCACACCTGTTTCTGTTTGCCTGCGTGTGTGTGAGAAACTGTATGAGATTGTGTTGTTTCATTTGCTGTTTTGACTTTGAGAAGCATTCAAACAGACAATGATGACATGCTCGGATTTGGAATTTCAAATATTTCTCCATGAGCCAGGCCACCTGTGTGTACTGTCTGATCAAACATGACACGGTAGAGGGTGGTGTTGCTGTCTACCACACCAAACACACAATCAACCTATGTGAAGAGCAGCATTTGATAAGACTGTTGATGAAAGCCACTAGGAAGAATTAAAAGACATGAAAAGGATAGAAGAGGAGATTAGAGGAGGCAAGAAGACAAGAAAAGTCTTTGCGTTCCTGACAAGATGAATACGATAATTCATTTTCCATTGGATTAATA